CAAATCCTAGATCGCTATTAGATCGCTATGAAATAGATTCGTCGTACAAACAGTCGTCATCATGCATTGTTTCGGTTTATTGGGTGTAATCAATTGATGAACGCATACAGGCCTATCTCTCTATGGGAAGCAAGTTAAATCTCGCACTTACTTGTATGGCAAGGAAAATTGATGGCTTATGCCCTACAGATATTTAACGAACAAGAATAATAGCCAAACAATATTATTCTGACCCTGAGCCATTAAAGAGAAAAAAGTCTATGCGCAATATAATTTTAGTGGTACACAATCTTGGAATAAGTGAAAAGAAACAGGGGTAAATTCCTAATTTGGGGTTCTGTAAAACGATATAACGATAACCTGACCAGAAATCGGATCACTTTCGAGCTTGTACGACCTGGCAGTGAGTTTCCTTATAAACATTCGCACTATTTCAAAGGTATTTAAGTATAAACAAAGCTCTTGGATAGCTGCACCCTAATTAGTAATGACAACAATCGTTCCTCTACAAACTCGTCCCGTTGCAATAGAAAAAATTTTGAAAAAAATCGAAACAAAAACTGTTTTATGCGATAAAATCGAGATGCCAAGAGAATTGGTTATTCTTCGAAAAATCCCGCCACATCCTAATATTATAACGCTTCTTTACTGGATGAAAATCAGACCAGAAGAGTGGATGATCGAGTTCGAATTTCATGGGTACGATTCGAATGGATTAAAATCAAATTTAAAAGACTATTTGAACGATGTTGCAAGAAGCAGAGGAAGTAACGGATTAACGGTAAACGAATCAAAAAAAATAATGAGCCAGCTGTTGCTTGCATGTAACCACTTGGAGAACCATGGGATTTACCATCGCAATTTAAAACTAGACAATATAGTTATCGGCACTGATGGCAGTATTAAATTAATCGACTTTGGTTTGGCAATCGAGGTGAAGGAAAATGAACAACATATTGAGAAGGTTGGATCAAGTAAGCATTGAACTATTAATGTAATGTAGATAGTGATAAAATGCACGTTTATATGCTCATTATTTATAAATTTGCTAATATAGTATTCTGTTTTCTTTTAACTCAGTTGTTCCACCTGAAATGTATGGCCACGTTACTTATAGGCCATCGACTGCGCAAATATGGGTATTAGGGACTATTTTTTACCAACTTTTTGAAAGAATCGAACCATTTCAAAAAGAACGAGTAATTTGTAAAGCCTTAGGACCGGTCATGTTTAGCAAATATAATCGTCCTTCGGAAGAATGTGTGGAGTTGATGGAGTGGATGTTGAACGTTGACCCTAACAGAAGGCCACAATGTATTGAAGATGTCCTTGATCACGAGTGGATAAGACATGATTGAATATTGTTACTATGTTTCCAGTGGCAGACTTGAATGTGTTATATGTCTTGTAGTGCGTTAAACTATATGCTAATTATTATACGTTTCTTGAGACACTATATTTGTCCACTTATGACATGTAATGTAAATCGGTAAGGCTTTCCATAGTCGATTATTACATATTTAGCAGTTAGTACCATGTCCAGGCTGACTGAAAATTATGACAAAAAACATTATATGCTAGTATGTTTATGAAACAGATAATTATTCGGATGCAGTAATTAATAAAACATGCTTCGTAATAAGCCTTGTTGCGTCATGTTTTTCCTCATAACCCATCTGAAAAACTCATAATTGCTACATTTATCCCCTTATCACAAAGAAAGATTGGGAGGGTGGGAGCGGGGTGCAAATTCGTAGTTTTAATTGACTCTTCATATGGTGGCTAAGTTTGTGGCATTATAATTGACATTCAAATATCTCTCCCGTCCATAAAACACTATGCATCGTATATAGATCGACGAGGGGACCCTATCAAAACTGGTGTCATGTGCTATAAACAATTGTAATAGTCACTTGTGAATTACTATCGCTGTAGCCACAGGAATTACCTGTCGTTTAATGTTGCGTCCATTACTGAGGGTTGTCGCATTTTCTCTTGAAAGAAGAACAGTAGTTATACAATATTCGAAGATCTATGTAGTGAACTAAAAATTTTGCCTGTTATTATTTTACCGAAGGGCGTCACTCTCATATTACAGTCACACCTCAGTTATATGACGCTACGCTGGAAATTGTAACTCCATATTGTTATATCCACTCACTTAGTAATGTTAAAGTAAGCTTTGGCAGTTATCTGTAGTTGGAAATAAAGTCAAAACATGTCACAGCATTAATTATTATTATTGAATGCCAATATTAATATCGGAAAGTACTGTCGAATCGCTGCATTTTGCTGTTCAGTATCTGACAAACGAAACCGCTCTTCTTTATTACGATTATGATGTAATCCAATTCTTAGCACAGGCTTGGCATAATGTCTCTGAAAAGACAATTGTACTGCTTGGCAAGGACAGGTATCTTGCCCTTCAATGAATTTGACAATATATGGATCTAGAGAGGCTTTATCGATGGTAATGAACAACGTGATTTTATTGTAAGTTGATAATGAAGAACGGAAGAAACGATTGAAGATTTATTATTGCACTCGGCCAAGCTCTTACGGGTGTGGATTTATTTGAAAACAAGGAACAACTTTTGAAGTGGGCAGTAAAGTGTTTACTGAATACAGAAAGTGCTTTGTTTAAAAATAAACAAATTGGATTGTTTTTTTTTCTCGTGAATAACAGCAATCATGCATGTATCGCTGGCTAAATTACTTGTAAATGTGTAATTACAGTATGCGCGATAAACCGAAGTATACATATTATGATTTCGACGTTAAACCCCCGTTGCTGGACACTTTTATTTCAAAGATTGTGCGAATTTACTAGCGAAAAAAAGTACGTGGGGGCTGAAAAGTTTTGCGTGTGGCCCTCTAACTCGAGATTGCGTCAATTTAACTACAAAAAAAGATTTGATAAGGTCGAAAATTTAGCAAGGGCTGTTCAGGCAGTTGCTAAAACCATCCCAAAAGTCGACTATGAGAAGTCTCTCCAGAGTTAGCAGAATCGTCTGCAACGTTGCATGGATGTTAATGGAGAGCTCTTTAAGGGAATAAAATAGTTGTATCTATAATTATTACGAAATTTCTGGAAATAAAGGTGCAAAACTTTTTAGCCTCCCCACGTACGCAACTATTACTTCATGGCGCATTGACACAAGTACATATACGTGGGGTGGTTGAAAGGTTTTGATCATGGATGTTTATCTTGACAAGTGCTGGTCTTACCTAAAAATAAGGACAAAGATTCGAAGCTTGAGGTTTTGAGGAACAAGTGAAAAAAAAGCTGGTGCGAGTTGACATGTTAGTTGTTGAGTAGCATCCATTTTTCATGGTACGCTAAACCGATTGGAAAAAAACCGATTTAAACATAATTTTCAAAAATTCATTTCTCCAGTCTTCTATGCAATTCTTGCAAAAGTTTTTTCTTTTACGTGGTATTTGTCTAAACCACCGTTGGGATTTTTGATTCGGAATTACGATGTGACCATTGCCATAAATAAAATCACGTGATTGAGATTTTACGGAAATTCCGATCTAATACCACGAATCCATCCACTAAATACTGTTCGAACAACGAAGATTGCATGGAGATAGGAATTTATAAAGATTATATTCATAATGTTAAAATCAATTTTGCAAGTCATAAGGGTTTGTTATATGACGTGTTCAGAGAAATTATCAATGTCGTTCCTATGACGAATTAAAAATTTCCATTCTTTCTAACCATGGTTATTTTCCAATTGTTTTAGGGTACCGTCGCGCAGATGTACATAACCAGGTCAATTCATGCCCAACTTATTTTTCAGCTTGCAACTATAGTCTTTGTTTTTAAATATTTTGGGCAGTTGTTGAGATAAATGTCCATGATCAGAACTTTTTAACCACCCCACGTACAATTTACTAGAGATAATTCTCGAACAAGTGGCCAGATTATGCATATCATTCATACACTTCACTCTTCTCATCTAACTCGGTCACTAGGATATCATCTTTTTCTTCTTTTTATTCCACGCCATTTGTTGGAGCGCGGTTCTCCGGATTTCCGTCTTCTTCTCCTTCATCACGAATTACAATCTCCGTATCCATAATATAATCCGTCACGTCTACCATCTCCACATCGTCATTTGATATTTGCTCGAGGCCTTCTTCGTAACACTTATATTTTTAAAATAAGTACTGTCGATATCGAATATTTCGTCCTTAGCGTGATTCCACCAGAGGGTATAATTATCGTTGTCGTGCCTTTAATGACAGTTTGAATGAAATCCGCACCGACCTCTGATAGTGCAAAGATCACCCACTCATCCCACCTTTAGCACTCAATACGCCGTACCGGTTCCGCCTCAACTGCGATTCTTGATCATACAGACTCCTTCTTCACTTTATACGGCTATAACTTATAGAATTATTATACATGACAGTGTGCAGTGTTTTTAATATTAATGGACTGAACTTTAGACTGACCGACGTTATAGTCCTGGAGTCTATCTTGCTACTTTTGTATCCAGTTTACAGAGTCTGTATTGCTTAGTGTCTTCGCTGGACATTCTCCCCATGGGAAACTCCTTATCTATCGCTAAATTAGGCATGTCCTATGACTAATAATGCTAATGACATAAATTCTTCCCTCTCTAAATGCACACCCTCTGTAAATGCACGCTTCCTCCATCCCCATTTATGTAGTAGGACACAAACCTAGTACATTCTCACGTTCAGTAACATTAAGCTATCTAACATGTGCTTTTACCCCATATTGTCCAAGAACATGCCGGAAAGCCATATTTATATTGTACAACCAGCTAATAAGTCATTCGCTTACCGGTTGAATAGAGTAATTATTCATGAATATTTAACCTCGTTATACCAATATTTTTGTTCCGCCAAAAATTTGTCGGTGAAGCGGGGTATCGGTAGATCGGTTGTTTTTTTTTTACCGATAATATATGAGTGATATTAAATATGCAAAATATCGATTTATCGGGGTGTTAAGGGTATCGGTACAACGCAACGAGGTTTGACTGTATTCGATTCCAGACCCTGCTTACGTTATGTGCTATGTGCGTTTATCTTACTATTACGATGTTATTGGTCCGATCCCATTCTAGGATTTGATTTTTGCGATGATTATCACACACTGATGATGCTTCCTTTAATATAATAATATTATAACAAAAGACAGACAAACATGCAGTAATAATAGTAATACAGTCGTTGTGTAAGGTGGCAGTTAATGCTACAAGTGTTATCCAAGGACATCTTCTTGTAAAACAGTTTGTTCTACACTTGCAACAGCTACTTTCATCATCTATTTTTTGTCTCCTAACTTACCGCTGTTAATGAGATAGTCGTTTCTGGAATGTCATCTAATTCACTGTACTCCGCATCAACTGTTTCTAAATCAGCTGCCTGATAATGAGTATCCTAATCGATACCATCCACCTCCACTATCATGCATGGTAGGAATTTTCTCCTTAATCTTTACCTGTCAGGGCTGGTATGCCAAGTCTGACAATATCATCCACGTGGTAGTCCTGTACAAGTAACTGCTGGTTATAAAAGCGTCAACTAATCATTATCTTTTCTGTATATCCCATTTTAATCGAGCTAGAACATTATGTTTATATATGCAATTCCCAAATTCGATTGGCTCGATGAACGCACTAAATTTCGATAACGTCAGGATTGACTAATTTTCACATGCATGTACGTGATCGAGCATCTAGATAGTGCTAGAATATTTACTAATATTTGGCTGCGTAAATGTATAAATTTTGACATACAATCCGCTAGCAGACTCAGAAAATGTTTGATATAACGGTTTTTATTTATTACAAAAACAAGAAATTGTTCAAGATTCGTTTGTTTCTTTTTCAAGGACTGTTGCTTTCTTCAATTTGTTCAAATTGTATGTTAGTAATATTAACAAGAAGCAAAAATATTTGACAACTTTGATCTTTATTAAATTTGTGCTATTAATATTGTTATGGATTATAACGGATAATCTACTACAAATTATTTTTATAACGGATTCGACCACTTTAGTGCGGATCTACTATTAACTATAAGGACTCCGGAATCGCACTAATAAAATCCGCTATAAAACTCTGGTTCCAAGAAAAAATCCGTACTAGGCGAAATCCGTTATATCAACGAACCGTTATATCGACTTTCACTGTGTATTAGGCAATTGCTAAGTATAGGGAATGGATGCTTGAACCAACAACGCAACGTACTTAGAAATGACGACTGATCTATGAAAATGGGTAGTTGGTGATTTGATATTCTAATTTGGTTTTTGTGTGGCATATATACTTGGGGATGCTATCTACCCTGTGCCTTTTTCCTGACCTTAAATGTAATAGTAAAGTTTTTCACAACAGTAGTTAGAAGTTCGATTCGGTAGTACGAAGGAATGGAGTCAAATTTGTATCCCAAAATCCTTGCCGATCACGGTTCGAGGCAGAATAATGATATAACTTGTCCGAAAAAAAAATGACACATTTCTGACAGTCTTTCGGCTTATAACAACACTATATAAACTTTATTAATGATAAAATGCAAGAATACGTTTGCTGTAACATATTCTGT